CTATTTTTGAGCTGTCCTCTTGGGCCAGTGTCTTACTCTAATCTTTTTTTTTTTTTAAGATGAGATTATTTGAGAGAGAGAAAGAGAGAGGGGGCATGAGCATGCACACACACACACACACACACAAAGGAGGGGAAGAGAGGGAGAGAGAATCTCAGGCAGACTCCACGCCGAGTGCAGAGCCAGGTGGGGCTGGATCTCCCGACCCTGAGATCATGACCTGAGCCAAAACCAAGAGTCAGATGCTCAACCAACTGAGCCACCCAGATGCCCCTGTCTTATTCTATTCTATAAAATAAAGAGTACTTACAACCTAGGCTTAAGCAGATGAAGGTAACGCACATGAGCCTCTAACACAGTGTCACAAAGAGGAAATGCTCAGTAAACACTAGTTCTACACTGCGTACCCCACTCAAATCCTCTGTGCAGTGAAGCCCCGCTCCGTACCCGGGCAGGGGGAAAACTCTCTGCTGGCAAAGACCAGGCTTTCTAGGGAGGAGTTCAGAGTACAGAAGGAAGAGTGACTTATTTAAGCTACTTGCAGGCTCTAAGTCTCCAAGCTTAAAAAAGAAAAATGCTTTAAGCACATCCTGCTGAACTCAGGTCTAGCCAACAGAGACCAGTGTACATGGAGAGAACGGTGGAAGAGACCGTACCGGCAACAAGGGGGAAAGCTGAACCCAAGGAAAGGGGAGGCGAAGGAGAGGAGCAGCTGGGAGACACACGGATGGTGAGGAGGAAATCTCAAAGGAAGAACTATTTGTAATCGTAGCTCACTGATGAGAACGGTTTATATTCCAACTAGAATCTCAGCTGTTACTCATTTTTTCATTTTTCAACAAACACTTTCAGCAAAACCTAGAACTCCGATCATCTGTACATGCAATAAATATTTAGGGAGCACCTGCTCTGTGCTACACTCTCTGCTAAGCACCAGACCCGCAGTGGCAAACACAAACAAGCCATGCTTCCTGACCTTCTCTAGTGCGGGAGAACAGGCGGGAATCCAGTAACTAAGCCACAGTCACAGATGAGAAGGCCCGCGGAGGGTCACAAAGTCCTCTCTAAGGAGGCACTGGCTCCGTCTCATCCTTCACGTCTCAGCTACTCAAGAAAAGGGGGGGGCGGAGAAGAACAGGCAGAAGGAAGGACTGACAGGAAAATGTTGGCTACACTCGAGGTAGTAAGAGTGTGGACAGAAGACAGCGAGCAAAGAGAGCGGCCAGAAATGTGAAAAGAGAGGTAAGTGAGTTCAAGACGACAGGGCCACGTCAAGGGGACTGGGTTTTATTAAGAACCAACCCAAGAGTTTTGAGAAAACTGCTGTAGGTATTTTTTTTTTAAGATTTTATTTATTTATTTATTTGAGAGCGCGCGCGCACACGCACAAGCAGGGGGAGGAGCAGAGGAAGGAGGAGCAGACTTCCCGCCGAGCAGGGAGCCCGATGCGGGGCTCCATCCCAGGACCCAGGGATCAGGACCTGAGCCGAAGGCAGACGCCTAACGACTGAGCCCCCCAGGCGCCCCTGCTGTAGGCATTTTTAAAGACCACTGTCCTCTGTACAGAGAAATGTACTAGCTGGGTGGGGACAAAGGTGAAAAGGGGGAACTAATTATAATAATGCAGGGAACGGTGTGATGGAAGGAAGACCAGCAGACTCTACCACCTTCCCAGCTTATAAGACCACCTCCCACTTTGTACTTAATTCACGGAGCAGCTGTTCTAGAAAGCAGGTCTTTGTCAGTCATTTCAAAGCTGTTAAATTGGTATCAAATCTCAAACTATTGAGTTACTCTGTCTTGCCAATTAGTCCACACATTTATAATAAAAATGGAAATCTGAAAATGTAAAATCACGGGAAAAATTTATTTTGGTCTTTTCCCAAATTTAAATCATAATTTTTATACTATATCTATCTGATTTGCCTTATTTTGTAAATATGAGAAAATTAAACAATTCATAAAACTATCTTTTATACTTAGAACTACAAAAGTCTTTAATGCTGGATAAAAATTAGAAAATGAAGGAAAAATCAATTTCCCAATTGGGGGCAGCAAACTATAATGATGCCCTACAAAAGCACTTCCCCCAGGGGTTAGAAAGGTACTGCACTGGCACCTTCCTTACACCAGGGTCCCCAATATCTTCTAACCCTCTTCTCCGGACATTCATTTACTGAGCACCCATCAGGCATGAGTTACTTTGGTGTAAAGCTCTTTTCTCCATTAAGCAGAGAATCAAGTGGTAGGTGTAGCAATCTGCCCAACTGTGGGCATCTGGCTGGAAGAGCCCCGGAACCCCCAGACCCATCAGCTGTCCCCACTGCCCTGCCACGGCAGCACGGGGGAAGCCGGGAGAGTGAGGGCAACCATCTGCACCCGCTAGAAGGAAAGACTCCGCAAGTCCCTACACGACGCTTGTGTGGACACAAGGAGAATGAACGACGGAAGGAGAACCGAGTCTTTCACAGCACTCGCTACGCCCCAAAGGCCGACTCCATCTTGAGAGCGGACAATCCAGTAACGGTGTCCGACACAAGGCATAAAGCTGCACCCTCCATCACTCGGCAATTCGCCCCAGTTATATGGATGAACAAGCAATTCAAATGAATCTTCAGCAAAGGAAAGCAGTGTCTACTCCCCCGCCGCGAGTGATGAAACTGTGCGCCCTCATACTTCAGACATGAGTGACACAATCACAATACTAGTAACAAATGGAAAAGAGCTCTTCCCCGTGTGAGGAGACGTTATCAACCACTCTTTGGCAATGACGCAAAGAATAGCAGAAGGCCTGGACACTGAGACCAGCCAAATAAGATCAGTCAAAGAAAGTGTGTGTGGGGGGAGCGCTCTAATAAAATATAATTAACAGGACACTGAGTTTTCAATTTTTGCTCAATTATCCAATGATTAAAAGTTTCAATTAGTAATTACTTGTTTATCCAGTACTGACCATAAGCCAACATTGTCCATGAAGCCAACTGGTAATAAAATCTGTCTCACAGGCCTAATTTCAAGGCAGGTATCAACGTGAGGAGTCAGCCATCACTGTGTAATTGTGCCGACTGCCCTGGAAGGACCAGGGGCCTCTCAGGTAATCTCTGATATTTGGAATAAGGACAAAAGAAAGCTATGAAAGCATATAGGCTCGTTCCCATGCTCACCTTTTCTGGAAAAGTTTTATTTTGTTTTAAGATTTTATCTATTTATTTGAGAGAGAAAAAACGAGCAGGGGGAGAGAGGGAGAAGCAGACTCCCCACTGAGCAGGGAGCCCGATGCAGGGCTCGGTCCCAGGACCCCGGGATCATGACCCGGGCCGAAGGCAGACACTTAACAACTGAGCCACCCAGGCGCCCCTAGAATAAGCTATGATCCTGATGAAAACCAGATCCTCTCCAGAGAAAAACACATGTGCATATTCACATGAAATGTAGTAAACAATATTAGGGGGTTAAAAAAATGCCTTGATGCTTACCCAGGGATTTCTGGGTCGAGTCCCCATCATTACTAGGACAGCTTCCCGAGGAAAGTTAAGAACAGAGCTCTAATGGAGAGGTTTATGAGCAGGTCAGAAAAAAAAGGAAATGGTGGGAAAATGCGAAGTAAATACACTGACAGCAACAGTGAGAGAGGAGATTCACAGCCATACTCAAGCCTCACGGCAGCAGCACAAGGCACAGCTTCATTCATCTGACAAAATATTTAGTGGGCGCTGGTATCACTAAACTAGGGGGGCTAAGACATGGGATAGCAACCAAGCTCGGAAGGAGCTCACAGCTCCTGCTCTCGTGTGGCTCATGAGGACCACGGGAAAGACAATCAGGTATCCCGCTAAGTCATCAGGAGCTGCGATAGGTTATTGGAATGAAGGAAATTTATTTTATGAGAGCCTATAACTAAAGAACCTAGCTATGACAGAGGGATCACAAAGCCTTCCCTAAGGTACATCGTTATCTCTGCAGAAATAGGGGTGGGGGTGAAGTTAATACAAGTCTCCCAGACTAAGGGCAACAGAAGATTCTGTGGTGGAGACAGTGCGGAGATTCGGAAGTCACACTCTGAAATTAGGAAGATGCTGGTCCTCTCCTTAGCCTGTTCCTTACCTCCTGACAAGAATACTAGCGCGTTCCTTAAGGGGCGGCTGGAACAATTAAATCGGACAACTTACGTACAGTACTTGGCAAAATGCGCTGACACAGAGTAAGTGCTCACTGAATGTGAGTGACGACGAAAATTACACAGTAGTGAAGAGAACCTGTGCTCTAGTAAAATTGCCTGGGTACACCCAACCCCACAATCAATGTAAACAGTTCCTACAGCCACCAATTACAATTTCTAAAGCAAAATACAAGCAACTTAAATATTTTACTAACTGCCTGCTCTTCGTTTTCACTAATGTAAATGCACTGCAAAGAGCTGTATTTAGATATAACACAAATACATGTTACCTATCTACCTAAGGACTCTAGTATACTTCACCATTGAGATTTTTTTTTTAAGTAAAACAACAACTTCCTGATGAATTTTCAAAGACTTGAGTGAAACAAAGTTCTTACAATACAGTTATTTTGTTTTCTGAACAGAATGCTCTTCAAAATTGTTGAGTTTCAGTTCCGTTTAATATGTTATTTAAATAAAAGACAAACAGCTATGTAAAAATTGTTCTTTACAAAATTTAACAATCTTGGAAAAGTTTCAAATTTAGTCTTATTTAACAAGCTGAAGTATAATCCAAAACGAAAACCTTCATATTTTCACTATGCCTCTAGGCAAAGCATTACATGCATCCCCAGTAATGGAGAATCCTTCCTTTACATAGAAGTCTATTGATGTTCAAGGCAGAAGGGAAATACACTCTTTTCAGATACATGCTCTCTCAGATACACCACCGTTGAGTACTGAGTACATTTTTCCTAAACTTCAGTATCTATAATACATCTCCTGGCCTGAGATTTCTGAACAGATAAGAACTTAGAAAACAAGACATATGCAACATTACCTGGAAAACTAGTTTTCATTACATCAATTCCAACTTGTAGCTCAGGTTCAGCAGCAAGCACGGCATAGTCCCCTTGATGAGAGACGTTAAAGTTGAAATTGGGGTAGGGATTCAAGGAGTCTTTTGCGAGAACTGGTTTTCCCTTTGCAGTTCTTTGCAAACGAATATTATTCCAAGGGATATTCAATTTCTCTGCAACTAATTTCCTTATCATCAGACGACCAGCCTGTTAAGTAAGTAAAACATGTGGTATGTATTAAAGTCTACTAAACATTCAGGTACCCTGCCTGTAACATACAAAGTCTATTTTTGTGGTTTCTAGAATAAATTCATTTTTAAGTGTTTAAAAGTATAAGTACTAAACTCACTGTACGAAGATTTAAGCAATGCTTAAGAAGGTAGAAGAAAAAGTTAAAGTCCCTCTTTATCAATTTTTTTAACGTAGACATATTTGAGATCTACTATATGGAGTACTGCACCACGCCTAAGCTTTGTAACTTGCAAGTGTTGGGGGTTATTTCATGTCTGTACATGTACAAGAGTCTGGTCTGTCCCCTTTTGACTGTAGTATAGTATTTCACAACATCAAGATACCCCCCCGATGGACTATTTCCCTACTACCGTACTTTTAGGCTGGCTCTAGGTTAGCTATTATAAAAAATTTCCCAGTGAACAGCCCTGTTGTACCTACATCTTTGTGCATATGTCCAGGTATTTCTAGATCCCGTATACCCATCACTCAGCTTCAGTAATTAGCAATGCACGACTTGTTTCCCATATACTCCTTCCATTGTCCCACTTCCATTAATTATTAAGAAACAAATTACTAAAATCACGCAAAAATATCCAAGGGTATGAAATGACAAAGTCTGTAATATTTTATGAAATATCTTTCAAGGATTTTCCCCTTCCATTCTAACATTGACTTTTCTAAAATCTGCATTACTTTGGGGGCGCCTGGCTCAGTTGGTTGGGCGACTGCCTTTGGCTCAGGTCATGGTCCCGGGGTCGTGGGATCGAGCCCCGCATCGGGCTCCCTGCTCGGCGGGGAGCCTGCTCCTCCCTCTGACCCTCCCCCCTGCTTGTGTTCCCTCGCTCGCTGCGTCTCTCTCTCTCTCTCTCTCTCTGTCAAGTAAATAAATAAGATCTTTAAAAAAAATAAAATCTGCCTTACTTTGCATGACACAATTTCTTACAAACTATAAAAAAAAAGTTAAAAACAAATTCACCACCATGCCTTCAAAACACTATCAATTGGTCCGCACGCCAAACGAAAAGGGGTTTCTACCCAGGGGCATTTTCGAGAAATGGCGGTGTGGGAAGCGACGAGACCCAGAGGCTGTATCTCAAACTGCCGTCTGCCGCGGAGGTGATTCTGCAACAGGCAACTTTCCCTTCGTTGCCTGAAAACGCGTAACTACGACCCACACTTCCATGGAAAACAGCGCTCCCCCAGCTACGCAGCCGCGCAGGCCGGCCCGAGGGGCACCCCCGCCGGCCCCGGCCCCTCCGGCGCAGGCCTCTCCCCGCGCCGCGCTCTCCCCGCGCCGCGCTCTCCCCGCCGGGCCCGGCCCCTCCGGCGCAGGCCTCTCCCCGCACCGCGCTCTCCCCGCGCCGCGCTCTCCCCGCCGGGCCCCGGCCCCTCCGGCGCAGGCCTCTCCCCGCACCGCGCTCTCCCCGCCGGGCCCGGCCCCTCCGGCGCAGGCCTCTCCCCGCACCGCGCTCTCCCCGCGCCGCGCTCTCCCCGCCGGGCCCGGCCCCTCCGGCGCAGGCCTCTCCC